GGGAAAGTTACGCGTGTGTCCACCTTCCTAGCTACCACCGTAGTCCACTGGCTTTGGGCAGTTTCTTCGCAATCTACTTGCCTGGAAGACCTCATTGCGGATGCATCCTCCAGGCTCTGCGTTAGGTGACTTGACGTGGGGCCACTAGCTGCAGTTGGGTGAGGTACAGGTGGGCAGCTACTGCACTCCCTTCGTTGTATCATTTGCACCATCCTGGAACTGCTTCGGAACCATTTCTGCCCTAATGGAGGGCATCAAAGGATACCATTCGTCAGCACCAACTCCAGCTCAGCGCTTGCTCTCGTGTGGCTGATGCTGCCGTCTGGTGCCCAGTGCTGGACGCCCAGGTTCTTGCCGACCAGATCCCTTTTTTATGCCAGATATCCCGAGGAACAGAAAGGGATGTTGGAGCCAGGTGTGGTGGCGCATGCCTGTCATCCCAACACTCGGGAAGGAGGCTGAGGCAGAAGGATCACTGTGAGTTTGAGGCCAGCCTGGCCTACATAGTGAGTTCAAGGCCAGCCTGAACTGCATAGCGAGAACCTGTCTCAAAAAAAAAAAAGGCTGTTGGCTCTGGGATGGAGCTGGAGGAGGCAGGGACAGGTGAGACAGGGTGGTGCGTACGGCTGCTGGTGTGAGAGTCGCTGTCCCGATGGGAGGGGCTGTTAGGTGGCCAGGTCAGAGGCAAAGGGGAAGTCTGCTGGCAGGAGGAAGTGCACGTGGCCTCGCGCCTCTGGGCAGCTAGCTCCCCAGGAGTGCGGTGCCCTCCACGTTTCTCTGGGGAACTCCTCCTCCTTTTCTTCAGGACGGCACACGTGTCACACCCTCTGTACAGTTTTCTCCAACACCCCCGGGCAGAATTGACTCCTCCTTCCCTTTGTACATGCGGAGCATTCTTGCATTGTTTTGAAGGGATGTGTTTACAAGTCTCTCTGGTTCACAGTGAGCCCCTCAAGGACTTGGCTCTGCTGTAATTTTCTCCACAGGCAGCTCAGCAGAGGTGCTGCCTGAGTCAGCTGTGGGTCAGGTGGCGTGGGACACGAGTCCAGACGGTGCGCGTTCCGTTTGTGTGACCTTAGGTGAGCTCCTACCCCTTCCCTTAGTGGGTGGAATGAGAATGTTGAAAAGTGAGATCCTGTATGTATGTAGTGGATGAAGATGCTTTTATTCGAAAGCGCCATCCACTGTAGCTGTCCCTCCTTTTGGCAGGGTGGGGCTGTAACTTGTGCTGACAGTCCAGCCTTCCCCGTTCAGAGGCACCGCGGCAAGCTCTGCTGTGAAAGGGACACCTAGACGGGTGGTGGCGGTGGCGAGGGGGTGGTGGGGCAGTGACGGCGGAGATGGCCGTCGTGGTCCTGGGTCAGGGTGCGGGGGTGATGCTGAAGGCGGGGAGGTGGGAGTGGTGATGGCAGCATGGTGAGGGGGAAGGGGAGGCCGTGCTCTGTGCTGGAGGTGGTAACTGCAGTGGTGCTGATGACGGCAGAGACGAGGGTGGGGCGTTAATAGCGGTGATGGCGCGATCCGGTGATGACGGCCGTGCTGGTGGTCCCGCAGGTGGTGATGGTGGAGGTGGGGTAGTGGCGGTGGTAGTGGTGGCCCCAGTAAGCATGGGAGGCAGATGGAGGTGGAGCTGACCCTGGTGGTGGTGGTTGGTGGCGCTAAAGCTTTTGCAATCAGTATTGCATGTCTGTATTTGTTTTCACGAGAAACCACTTTGAAGATGTCAATACGTAATACAACAAGCATTGTTAATTTCCTGCCACTTTGTTTGTAACTCTGTATTGTCTGTACCGTTCTTTTACTATTTTGTAAAAGGTTGTCTGTCTGTTAATGTTTTCCTCCTTTTATTTTTAAAAGAGAAATAAATAAATAAGTAAAACAAAACAAAACAAATAAAGCTTTTGGGAACGAGTTTCCCATCTCCATTGCTTAGCTCTCTGATTGGGATTTTTGCCCCCTTGCTGATTGTCCCCCAACTTCTAGAGTGATGTCCATGCAGTTTAGTTTTATTTTCTTTCCTGCTCTGCTGCCTGCCTGCTTCTGAACGCATGCGCCTCCTCACGGGCTGACCCGGGGCCCTGCTCCTGCCTCTCTGCCCTGGAGTGCACGTGGAGTAGCGCTGGTGTGGTTTGCTGGGTCCGGCTTGCGCTCCTGCCCTGCCTGCGCACACCCTCTGTGCCGCCGTCTTCTCTCTGCTGGTCCTGGCTCACCGCTGCGCACCCGGGGGCCAGGGGCACCTCTGCAGTGGGCCGTACGGGGAGCTGCTTGTCAGTAGGAGGTGTTAATGCTAGAGGGTTGCATTTGAGGCTGGAGGGAGTGCCCCGAGTTCCCCGTGCAGTAGAGAATAAACTTTCTTTTTGAGCGGTGAGAGGTGGTTGACAAATCTGCTTACAGTGGTCTCTTTTGTTACTTTAAAAATGTGAATGTAATTACAGTCACAGAGCATTTTCCTTCTCCTGTGCTGTGTTCCAATCTTAACATAACTCGCAGCATAACTCACTCGCTTATTTAGATACTTAGCAGTTCACTTGTTTACATCTCTGTCTCAGCTCGTTGAGGATTCATAGTCGTTCTATTCTTCCGCTGACTTCCGCCGGGTTGGTGATGGCACTCGAATCTGGGGGTGGCGGCTCAGTTCTCCTGCAAACATTGGAAAGCCTGACTGCCAGCTTCCTGGCAGGATCAGTGGTATTGTGTTGAAGCAGTCGTATCAAAGAGAAGGATGTTTTCGGGTTTGGGAGTGGGAGACTCTTAAAACCTGTGAAGACAACGAAAGTGATGTTTGCCGGCTGGCTGCCCTTGTTGAGGAAATCACCCTGAGCAAGCGATCCTTGAGTTTGCGGATGGCGGCCATCCTCCACTCCCCTGAGCTTCCCGCCTCCCAAGGGCACCGAGTGGATCTGTATAGATTCCTTCCCAGGACCAGTAAGCCGCGTTGGTGATATACTGCTCTCTGAGAGCGTTTTCCGGTTATTTTGTGAAAACCGTAAGTTGGCCCTGAACTAGTAGAAAGGGCACAGTATTTTCAGCAAAAACTCGAGTTCAAGGTCTGGACCTGGATCAGGTCGCTTGGAGCCTCAGTTCCCACTCTGAAAGTGGGAACTGTTGAGTGCTATGGCTCACCATGAGGACCTTCTGTGATCCTGGACGGAGATTCCACCGTGAAAAAGGTTTGTAACATTAAAAGGTGACTTTTTACTATTCAGTTTGACTTGTGATAAATTAAATTACTATTGAATTTGACTTCACAAGTTCAAGTCACTTGTGAAGGTATGCTGTTCTTTAATTAGGAATTTTGTTCTTTAGGACAAGTAATTATTCCGAAAATCACTTCGCACACACTTATTCCTCTCAAATTTAACATTCGTGAAGAATTTTGCAAGTTTTCTTCTTGGAGCTGTGAAGTAAAAGCCAGATCTGTATTAGATATTGGCCTGGATTTGTGCCCCTACACTGCGCTCCTTTGCCCTGGAATGATGATCTTGTTTCGCTGGTGGACCTCCTGAGCCCCCACTCAGAAGTCATGTGTTTGGGAATGGTCTGACTGCTTTTGGCAGACGGGGTCTCTGTCACTGGAAGCCCCTTGTTCTCACCTCGGAGCAGCCTCTTGGTTACTGCCGGCTGAGAGTTCCACCTGTCAGCTCAGGAGGGCAGCGAGTTGTGCGGCTTTTGATCACTGCGCCGTTCTCAGTACCTAGACCTGTGCCTGCTCTGAGTCAGTGCTCAGTAAAGTTTTATGGGATGAACGAGTGGAGGACGGGAACAGCCCCCGCCCGTCAGCTCCTGTGCCTTCATCCTGTTCAGAGCTGTGCCTGGCGGGTTTGCAAGTATTCGCTGAATGATTAAGTTTCTGGACTAGCAACTTACATGTTTAGAAAGCAGAAGAAAAAGGGTAAATATTCTAAAATAATAAAAATGCTGCTGTACTTTCATGTAATTGTTTAAAATATATCATTTTAATTTTGTACTTGGGTAACTGTAGGCTATGGGTTTTGTGTGTGCGTGGTTGTTTTTTTTTTTTTTTTTTGTTTGCTTTTTGAGCAGGATCTTGTTATGTAGTTTGGGCTGACCTTGAACTCATTGTGTAGCTCAGGCTGGCCTGAAACTTGAGTCAATCCTCCCGCCTCAGCCTCCTGAGAGCTGGGATTACAGGCTTGCAACACCATGCCTGGTTTGTAGGCTATTTTTATAAAAACATGTGCTAAACATCTGGAGAAGTTCGTCAAAACCAAATTACAGGTTGCTCTGGACTAGTTTTTAATAGAAAGTCTTATTTTTCCCTTAAAAGTGGTATAAATGTCACTAGAATATGCAAAATATGTTTTACACCTTTAACACCCCCTAGCATATAGATACTAATCGTTGCCTCATACTGTGAATAATTGCAGATTCATGGTACGTATCAAAGTAATCATAGTCTCAAATTTTGCAAATGGCTATTTGCCAGATTTTCTGTAGCTCCCTGCCTCCTGCTGTGCTTGAGGAAGTCTTCCTCATAGTAAGGTTTTTAAAATTCCACTTACAAAATTTTATATCTTCTTCAGCAGATGGGCTGGCCAGCATATGGTCTCCATGGTAACAAGGTTTCTGTACCCCCTCCTTTTTAAAATAGCCTGAAGTCACAGAAGGGAACTTAGATATTAATAGCATAAGAAATTTCAATGTGAACAAGTTATTAAATATGCAGCCTTTGAATATGTGTTTCTTGATCCGAAGTCATTTGTGAAATGTAGCAACTCTGGTGAAGCGCTGTAAATAACAGTCTTGATACTTGTGCAGATTAGGATGTGGCAGTTAGTTTGCTGAAATAATTAACTGCTGGACAACCTGTTTAAATTAGCCTGCACTTCTCAACTTCCTTTTTGCCACCCAAATCAGATCATGTGCTGTACTCCACAGATGTCAACAGCATTGTCTTAATGTATTTTTTTTTTTTTTTTAAATTTTTTCCGGTACCGGGAATCAAACTCATGACCTCATGCTTGCCAGGCAGGCGCTGTGCTGCTGAGCTAAATCCCCAGTCCCCAATGTATTGTTATTTTAACCTCTGTGTGGAAGACAAAACCAGGGATTTCTCGTTGCTGTGCAGTTTCTATGGACAGCCATTTCTGTGGTAAGTGTGGTGTTTGTACTAAATATAGAAAAATTATAATTTTCATGGGGCTGAAGGCTCTGTCAACTTGATTAAGTTCTGGTATCGACTGATAAACAACTGGAAACCCCTCCCCCTTGGTGCATAAATGATTGTTTAAGGTCGCACACTAGCCAGGCATAGAAAGGTCTTGGTGAAGGGGATTCGGCTGGCCACAGTGTCACTGTCTTGCTCCTGTCGTCTAGCTCCGTAGGAGGCTGTGGCTGGAGGAGTCCTTGAGCCTTGAAATTCACAGTTAGCCTGGACAACAGTGAGGCCCCCATCTCTAGGGGAAAAACAAGATGAGTTTGATTTACTAAAATTCTTGTGTTTTCCTAAGAAGTGTCCTATTCTTGACTAGCATGGGTAAGTCTTATGTAAAATGTCCACCCCTTACTTTTTTCTTACTTTTTAAAATTTAAACTTATTTTATACTAGTGTGTAAAAACAAAAATTGTACATATTTATGGAGTACTGTGTGATGTTTCGAGTAGTATTATTTCAAGTATATTATTTTGGGGTTTACTTTGTTGTTGGAGATTGAACCAAGGGCCTCACATATACTAAGCGAGTGCTGTAGCCCTGAGCTCCACCCTCAGCCCCTCGGGTCTACTTTTACATGTTAGCTTTTGTGAGATCATGACATAATCTTCCTCTTTTAGCTGTAAATATTAAGAGAGGTTTTTATTCCATCAGAATATCTAGAATAAGGAAGAATTTTTCTGTCAAGCAACAGAAATGTATTAAGCATACCCGGAGTACCTGGCCCTGTAGTGGGTTCATCTTAGTATGTTTTGGACTAAACTCCTGTTGCAGGATCGTGTAGGAGTCTCTTTTCCAGTGTCCTGCCTGTTTTTACTTACCTTGCTCTCAGCCAATAGGTTGAGCTGTGAAATACGCAGTGTGGAGGGTAGGTGTGAAAGTAGCACTTGATTCTACTGGGAGGAAGCAAAGGGGCCTTGTTTATATGTTTGTGATAAGATTTAACGGGAGGTTGGCGGGCGGGTGGGTATCTGCGGATGACACTCTTACCGGGCTACTTCGGCTGCAGGACCATTTCTTAGGAAGCTCTTGACCCACATTGAAGTACTCTCTGTCCCCGCCAAACAGATGGGCCTTGTTTTATCCTAATTTCTTCTGAGCACCCGTGTGCAGGTAGTTTATTTGGAAGTGAGGCCAAGGAATGGGAGGGAGAAAGGATGAAAAGCCAGTACCAGGGGATGTTAACAAGTTGGCCAGTTCTAGGAGCAGCTAGTGATGGGTGATGTTATGCTTCTCCAGGGAGCCCTGTGTGGTGCATATCAGGATTATTTTCCTGTGGAAATAAACTTCCAACAAACAAACAGAGCTGTGTTCTGGGGCAGACAAAGGAGAAGGACTCAGTCACTGACTTCCGCCCTTCCCTGCGCGGGGGCAGCCGGCAGGTTCGCCCTGGTGCTGCTGTAGCACGCGGCAGAGGGCAGGCATCCTGCGCGCGCTGCTGGGGAGGCCCGTGACCTGGAGGCCTCAGGCCGTGCAGCTGTGTGACGCTGGTCAAAGCCTGTGTGGGGCAGACGGCTGCAGCAGCGCTGGGGTGGTGGGACCGGAGGGCGTGAAGTGGTCCCTGAACTGTGCAAGCCTTCATGGCAGAGGTGCCAGTGCTTCCTTCCTCAGGTCGTTTCTGAGAGCCTCAGGGCAGGAGAAGTCTCCCTGTCTTTTCAGGCAACATAGGTCAGGGTTCCTGGGTTTCACATCCATGCGAACAGTCTCACCACTCTGACCCTTCGGATCCCTTCCTAGGTTTCAGCATCGATGCTTCATTGACAGGAAGCCATCATCCCATCCAAACTCCAAAGCCATTCCGGTGGAGCGCAGAGACCAGTTCAAGGCGTTCTTGGCAGGACTTGGAACCCAGAGTCATTGGAAAGTGTCCCCATGTCAGTAAGATTCTTCATCCAACTTAATCTTTTGTACCTGCTGGTCTAAAACACCCAACTTCAAATAATCTTTTTTTGTGGTTCCTCTTGATGTGTATTCCTTTGATGAATAAGCACTTTGTTCTGCAGCGAGAACTGTCTCTTCCTGCTTGGGCTGTGCAGAAACCCGGCTAGTTGTTTGGCTCAGAGGCAGAAGCGGTGGTCGATTTTAGAAAGAACAAGGGTTACCTTGTTAGGCACCCATCTTTGCGCTGCGGACTTTGCAGGGTCCCTGTGCAAGGCGAGGGTGTAGTTAATGGCCTGGAGAGTTCTCAGGATCTGAGAATTGAAGATTCTTAGGATCATCTGCTCACATGCCCCAGTTCCACGTTAGAGTCCCTCTTTTCCTCCCTGCCCTGACTTTGACGTAGACTGTGCGTGCACTCTCCTTTGCAGATCTTCCAGCTTTATAATTAGCTCCTGAGCCTTATTTTCGGCACAGCCTGCCCCGTGGCTACAGGAAATGAGTCAACCAAAATGCTGTCAAAGAGGATTTCCAGTGACCTCTCTGAGTGAATAGTTCACTTACCTGCACTTTTTTTTTTATATACCAGGAATTCAACCCAGAGCTTTCACATGCTGGGCAAGAATTCTGCCACTGGACACATTTCCAGCCCTTTAATTTTATTATGAGATAGTGTCTCACTAGGTTGACCAGGCTGGCTTCGAACTTGGGATCCTCCTGCCTCAGACTTCCTGAGTAGCTGGGATTACAGGTCTGTGCCGCCATGCCCAGTTATGATCGTGTACTTTTAGCCTTACATTTTTTGAGGCTTCTAGAGCAGTTAACAGAAGCCAGAGAACTCTGTTTTTACACCTAGCACTCACTTCATGCTCAGGTACTACAGCTACCACATCATTCATTATTTTACATTTCCTCTCTACCTCATCCCAGTCCACCACAGCGAAGAGTGCAGTATTGGTAATTGTGATGCCACTATATGCTGAGGATGACTAACCAATGGACCAAGAGAGATGGAGCCATACCAGGCCCACAAGCGTTTACTTCCCTGAGCTCCTAGATTGCGTGTGCCAAGTGTGGAGCTCCTCAGCCTCGGTTCGCACTGGAAAGCTCTGGAGCAGGAGGTGAAGGGTATGTGGAGCGCGAGGCGGAGGCTGTTAGTTTATACCTGAGCCTGCTTGAAGCTGGAGCGAACCTGGTCGTCTCAGCGGAGGCTGGAGTAGGACGTGAGGCTCAGAGGGTGTGAAGTGCCCAGGGAAGGTCTGGTATGGCGTCGTCTCTCTTGGCCCATTGGTTAGATGCACTCATTTATTATGGTCATTGAGTGTGTTCATCCTTCCTCTTTATTTTCTATGATTTATACCATGAACAGATTTAGCTATTATAATCACGAATCATACTGCTTAAAAATATTACTGCCTTCTTAAAAAATAAATATTGTGGGCTTCACGTGAGGGCCTGTAGACTTCTTGGAGGAGAGGCAAGGTGAGGAGTGTACGGAGAATAAATCATGTAATTAAGCTGCTGCTTGCTGTTACTTCCCACGGAGAATATAGGGAATTAAAACACAACAGAGCCAGAATTTGTACTGTGTGAAGTCCTTAGAGTCTTAGAACAGCTTATTGTTAAAGATTCCTATTTTTGGTACTTTTCCTTTCCTCTTAAAGGGGGTGATCTGTGAGTCTTCAGTGGGCCCTCACCAAGCCTTCAGAGTGGATGCTACTAGCCACAGTGCCTGCCATAAGTGAAATTCTGTGGGAAGAAAGTGTGTGGTGGACTGACAACCGGTGGTCAACTTGCAGTACCCAGCTGAACTTAATGAGCGTGGTGCTGGGCGTGGGAGGCCACCTGAGGCTGTTGCCAGCAGTGTAAGAGGCAGAACTGGAGAAGAAGCAGGCTGTTGGGAGCTGGAAGAAGCCGTTGGGAGCCTGTTGGAATTGGAGAGAAGCTGTAAGGAGCTGCTGGTTTTCTTGGAGGAGCTCGTCATGCTGGCTGTCCTGATGAACTTGGCTGTTTTCATCCTCCAAGGAGCTCAGGACCTCTCTGGCACTGAGAATGGCTTCGGTTCACTTTGGGGGAGCTCTGGTCCTCACTCTGAGCATCACTTCCTTGCTCTGGAGGGGAAGATGGTGCACTGCTCAGTCTCCTGGAGAAGCTTGTCAAGTTGGCTTCCCTGATGGGAACCTGGCTGTCCTGATCATGAGAGGAGCTTGGGACCTCATTGTTGCTGATTTCGGCTGTGGTACTTTTCATGGGAGCTCTGGCTCACTCTTTGAGCATCGCTTCCTGGCTCCGTGCAGATCCCTCAGCCTGCTAGCACAGATCCTTCATCCCGCTGGCACAGACTTTCTAGACCTTTGGGCCTTTCTGGTGCAGATCTGTGAAACAGGCCTGCATGAGACGTTGTCATGGGCTCTGGGCCTCCAGGTGGACTCATGGGAGGCACTGTGATGGGCTCTAGGTCTTCAGCTGGACTCATGCAGGACATTTCTGTGGGATCCAGGTCCTCAGCTGGATTCTTTGGTCTTTAGTGTGTGGACAGATTTCCGGCACTCTCTTGTATATCGTTCTTTGGGTGACTGTTATAAATAATCATATAAGCTATGTGTCCTGTATTATATTGTTCCCCTTGCATTAAGCCCTAAACTATGACAAAGTGGTTAATCTTTCCTAAAATTGGAACTTTTCTAGGTGTTCGGATTGGGGGCAGACAAGGTAAAATACAAAGGCCTACAAAGGTGAGAAAGAATCAGCCCTTGCCTTCAGAGCCGTTCTTCTGCTGGTCATGAGAATTCATAAGATTAGAGACTGAAGCTTCGGGATGTAATATTGGTTGTTTATTTTGCTGGTAAATTCTCTATATGAAATGTAAACAAGATTCTTTGGATTTCATGACCATTTATTGGGAATTTCTTCAATTTTATGATCTCGGTACTTCACCTGTATTTGGTGTCGTTGTTACCTATCATAGCTACTTTTTTGTTGTTGTTGTTGCTGTTTTGAGAGCTGGTCTCACTGTGTCATTCAGGTTGGCCTTGAGTTCACTATGTAGCCCAGGCTGGCCTTGAATTCACAGTGATTCTCCTGCCTCAGCTTCCCGAGTGCTGGGATGAGTGCTGGGATTACAGGTGTGCCGCACTGTATCTGGCCGTCATAGCTATTATGAAAAAGTCTTTTCTTTTTTATGAGTATTTTTTATTTGAAGAATATGTATGCTTACCACTTTAAAGAACATTATGAAAATTCTGGTGCACATAAAAAACGGAATTTTATATGTGCTGCTGAAGTGAGCGCAAAAAACAAAAATTTTAAAAAGAATGGAAAAGAAATAGAAATATGGACTTGAGTACTCAAAAATTGTCTTTCTGCTCTCCAGTAGCTGTTCCTGCGTAGTACCTGGGCAGCCTGAAGTGCACGTCCATCCCAGTGTCTGTGGTCCATACCTGGTGTTTAGAAGATCGTTCCTGCATGGTCTGCTGGGAACTGTAATGGACAGAACAGAAGCGGCGGGCTGTGTTTAAAGATTGGTTTTGTTAAGGATAAATAAACTTGAGACTTCCATAGGCAAATGGATGCAACTAGAGACCATACTCGAAGGTGAAATAAGCCAGACGCACATGTGTAAACGTCATGCTGTCTCCCTGGTGTGAGAAGCTGAACGAGTAACTAAGATCCAAAATGCACAGTGGATATTGTCAATTGGGACAAGGACACGTGGCTACGGAGGAAGAAGGAAAAGGAGGGAAAGGAAATACATGTGTAATACATGTGTGTGTGTACAGCTAATTTCTCGAGTTCATTGAAAAGAAAGTTTTGTGCTAATACTGTTTGGACAATATTTCCTGCCTATATTTTAGACTCTGAGTAACTACTATGAAAGTAACAATACACAATATGTTATTATTGTTACTTTCCTGTAACAATAATAACATTATTAATAACATTATTATTGTTAATAACATTATTATGTTAATAACAATATATTGTTATTAACATAATAATAACATTATTATTGGTACTTTGAAACTCTGTTTCAAAACCATTTTAGAATGTTTTATTTCTATTTTTCTTCTTCTTCTTCTCTTTACTTTTTTATCTTATTTTATTTTTTGAGAACCGGGAATTGAATTCAGGACCTCATGCTTGCCTGGCAGGTGCTGTGCCCCTGAGCTAAATCCCCAGCCCCAGACAAAATGTTTTGAATGACGGCTAAGACACACTGGTTGGATTCTGCGCCAGTTGGAATCTGACTTTTCATCCTTTCTGGAAAACTGGTGAGAACTGGCAGCGCTGGACGTCCAGTCTTCCGGGGAGTGTGGTCTGGAGGTGGGAAGTGGCCGCCCTGATGACAGGACCTTACTCACGTGCACCCGTGTGAACTGACGCAGTGCAGGGTGATGTACCGTCCCCGCAGCAGTCAGATTGCCTGGTCCCGGTTCTAGCTCCGCCCTTCCTAACTCTGAGGCTTTGGGCACACTGCCACTGCTCGCTTCCTCACCTGCAGAGCGACGATAATAATAAATGAATATATGTAAGATAACAGGGTAATGACGTTCCCCGGCATATAATCAGCATTTAATATGTGCTGGATATTACAGTATCGTTAACTCGCTGATTCTTTCTATTGGGTATTTGATAATGACTGTGAACAGATTGCAGCAGATAGAGCGTCTACACTGGTGAGAAGAACGGATCCCCAGTGCGGAATGATCTGTTCACTGAGCAGTTAGCTTCCACACGTGCACGTGTGGTAAATTCCCGCAGCGACCCAGTGTGTTTGGGGTTCAAACCAACCGCGTCTGCCCGGGACCAGTGAACTCCTCCGTGCGGAGCGGCCGAGGGACTGTCACTGCTGTCCATCTGGACACTTCTCGGCTCATCTGCTGGTTCTGTTCTGTCATGCTCGGCCGCCCGCTGCCGAATGCTGATCTGAGTCCCGAGGCACTTGGGGCACTTTTTGTCCCAAGGCTGATGTGCCAACCTCGGGGAAGTGCTTGGCTTTCTAAGTTTGCTCGTACGCAGCACGCCCCCCACCCTCAGTCTTCTGCTCTGTTTCCCGCCTGATTTGTCCCTTCGTGGGTCTGTGCAGTGTCAGGCTGAAGGAAGCTTCCTGTCCTTCCCTGTGTCCTCGGCCGGGTGCCTGCAGTTGGCCTCGGCCTCTCTGCCTGGCCGTGGTTGGCGAGGGGAAAGATAGCTCCAAATTCACCGCTCTTTGAACAGCCCCCACTGCTGCCTTCCCTGATTGCCTGTGCTTCTTTGTTGGACCAATGGAAGAAGTTAGCTGAAAATCTGGGGTGATTTTTCCCAAGAATGTAAATGGAAAATGAACTTACCTTAAATATTTGCTGAGAAAGAATCACTCAGGGTATCAGAAGGTTCACAGAATAGTCTTAATCATTATTTTATGATCATTCTTTATATTGCTGTTTGAGATAACCAGCTGCTTCTGGAACTAGTCCTAACATTTAGAAGTCAGAAACCACAGCCTGTAGTTTTAGCTTTTTTCTTTTTTACTTACTCTTTTTTTTTCCTTACACATAAGGAAGTCATTCAATATCCTTAAAATGGTCTTAATAATCTCTTTCTAATTCATAAAGTTTTAGATGGCTCAAATAAGCGTACTTTATTTAAACTTGTTTTTAAAAATAAAATGTAGGGGCTGGGGATTTAGCTCAGCGGCACAGTGCCTGCCTGGCAAGCACAAGGTTGAGGGTTTGGTTCCCGGTACCGGAAAAAAACCTCAACCCCCTCCAAAAAAATAAATAAAATGTAATCATATTAATTGTTTTTACATTTTAGCTAATATGTAGTTAATATTAATTAATTTAGTTTAGTTAATTTAGTTAATATTCACTTGTTAATCTGTCTTTGCTAAATTAGGATAATACTGATGAACTATTTTTAAACAATCTGAAATATTTTCAATGAAAAGGAAGTACATATTCGGTGTAAAACATCTGAGGAACATAGAAAAATATAAAGATCACCCATAACATGATAACTACGTTTACATGTTGGTTTGTATCTCCGTACTGCATATGTTTATACAGATAGAGGCAAATGCGCTATTTATAAAAATTTAAATATCCTTTATTACGTGTTCTCTTCATATGATATGTATCTCTTTCCTAGTTAAAAAGATCTAGTTCAGCACTGTTAACTTAATGTGTGAATATACTGTGATTTACTTAACTTGTTCCTGTTGCTAGATGCTTCAGTTTTCAGTTTTTCACTTGCAGAAATGATGCCAGTGTTCTTACGGTGAATTCCTGGAATTGGACTTCCTGGGCAATTGTGTTGTAAACCGAGAGTCTAACAAAAGCCACCCCCTCACCCCCTGCTGTGAGTTGTGGAATATCTAGTAATGTGGATCATATGCTCTAAGAGACTACCTAATTAATACGTTTTGAACCTCACAGCTGCTGGAGCTATAGCATTAGATTTATCAGAGCAATAGCTTTTCTTGAACTTTAAAGAAGTTACAGTTATTGAAATACCCGAGGGCCTCATAACACAGTTTTCCTTGTAGCCCAGGACAGTGGTTCTCCTGTGAATTAATAAAGCATTAATAATTAATTTTAAATGTGACTATTTTAGTGTAATGGTATGCAGTGAGTACACATTCAGCAAACATTCACTGAATCCTGTGTGGGAAATGTTCTGCTGTGCCCTGAGGCTATAAAGATGAATGAAACTCGTCAGTTTCCTTGATGAACTCGGTCCAGTGGGGTGGACAGACATGTAAACAATTATAGAACATCCTAGTAAATGGTACCATCCAGTGTTGCTGGGACAATAGAGGGTCCCCTGCCCTCCCACCTGCTCCAGGCTGAAATG